ACTTATGTGTAGGATATTTGAATAATTTTTAAGGTGGTTTACCATGGACCGGGGAAGGGAGGGATTAGGATCTAGTTTTTGTAGGATTTTGAGGGCAAAACTAAGACATGAGGAAAATTTTAAGGAAGAAAAATTTAGTTTTAAGAACTTTGCAATTGCTATTGATATGGGATTGATTGCTGTGTAGTGAATGGACTTCATACTAGATGTAGCGGCATATGCTGGACTAGTTGTTGATGGAGAGATCTTGAAAAACTTGTCATGCAGTGAAACTAGATTGTATCGCCTCTGAGATTCCTTCTTTTCCTATAAGTTGCTGTTCTAAACAGAAGCTATTGAAATAATTGTTCTTTGGGTTGTCCTCAAGGGGGGGGGAGAGGCTGATTTGTTATCTACTGGAAATGTGTGTGCTGGTTTAACTTTGGTCTAAACTATGAAAGTTTAATTTTTTTAAAATTTAACGCATGTTCATTTAGAGACAGACTCACAATGTAGCCCTGGTTAGCCCCCTCCCCCTCCTCTCCTCTCTCCTTTCCTTCCTCTTTCCTTTCCTTTTTCCTTTGCTTTTCTTTCCTTTTTCCTTTCCTTTTTTCCTTCCCCCTTTTCCCTTCCCCTTTTTCCTTTTCTCTTTTCCTTTCCCCTTTTTCCCTTCCCCTTCCCCTTTCCCTTCCCTTCCCTTTCCCTTTTCCCCTTTTTCCCTTTTTTTCACCTTTTTCCCCCTTTCCCTTCCTTCTTTCTTGGCTGTTCTGGAACTCACTTAGTATACCAGGCTGGCCTTGGAACTCACAGAGATCTGCCTGCTGGTATCAAAGGCATGTGACACCACCCCCCAGCTCATTTTGTTATTCTTGATAAAACTGTAGTAGTAATAAAGAAAACTTTCTGTATAGTTACTTCATGTACAAACTGATGATAATAACTACTCCAGTAAGGTTATTTTCTTAGTGTTCTATTTCTGTGAAGAGGTATCTTGACCTCTGCAACTCCAATGAAAGAAAACATTTAATTGGGGGCTTGCTTATAGTTTCAGAGAGTTAGTTTATTATCATGGCAGGGAACATGGTGGCACACCAGCTGATATGGTGCTGGAGAAGTAGCTGAGAAGTCTACATCCAGATCCACAGGAAGAGAGAGACTGGGCTTGGCATGGGCTTTTGAAACTTCAAAGATCAATTGAACTACTTCCCCCAACAAGGCCACACTTCTCAATTCTTTTCAAGTAGTGCTGCTCATACCTTGATGACTAAGCATTCAAATGTATGCACCTGTGGGGCTATTCTTATTCAAACCAACACAGTTATATTTGAGGGATAGCTGATTTACTACATGTAAGATGTTCAGTTGACATCTTGACACAGATTTAAAAGATACTTTCTTTTATTATGAGGTAGAAATGTTTGAGTTAGGTGTATCTTTTTCACTTTGAATGTCATTGGAATAGTAAGATTGCCTAGATTAAACTAATGTTACTTTTTCTGTGCTTTTTCTGTGGCTAGCAATGTACTCCCTTCCCCCCCCCCCCCCCGCCATGTTCTTTGAGCTGCCACACATTCATTTTGAATTTAGACAAACACACACTAGAACCTTTTCAATACCATACCACATTCAGGTGTAAACTGATCTAGCCCTTCCTCATGACAGCAGGTAAGAGTTCCTTGTGTACTCTTATGGTGACAGAAGGGCTTAGTCTGGCCTGTTCAATCCAGGCCAGACTAAAGTTGTAAAAATTGGTAGGTAACAGAACACTGAAGATTGTTTCTATTGTTATGTGGGGCTGGTTGGGTACTGACGCTTATCATTATCATCCAAATACAAATCTTTAATAAACACCACCCTGTTGCTCTTTTTGTGGAGCTTCTGTCCCCTCCAGGTCTTTCATATTCCCCTTCTTTCATAAGAGCAACAGAACCAAAAAAATCTGGGCACAGGGGTCTTTTTTGAGACTGACACTCCAACCAAGGACAATGCATGAGGATAACCTAGAACTACCGCACAGATGTAGCCCATGGCAGCTCAGTATACAAGTGGGTTCCATAGTAATGGGAACAGGCGCTGTCTCTGACATGAACTCAGTGCCTGGCTCTTTGATCACCTCCCCCTGAAGGGGGGAGGGGCAGCCTTACCAGGCCACGGAGGAAGACAATGCTGACAGTCCTGATGAGACCTGATAGCCTAAGGGTCAGGTGGAAGGGGAGGAGGTCCTCCCCTATCAGTGGATTGGGGGAAAGGCAAAGGAGGAGAAAAGGGAGGGAGGGTGTGATTGGGAGGGGACAATGGAGGGGGCTACAGCTGGGATATGAAGTGGATAAAATGTAATTAATAAAAAAGTGCAAAAAGAAAAAAAAACAACAAGCAAAAATCAAAACACCACCCTGCCTTTCCCTTAAAAAACAAAACCAAACTTTGCCAATGAATTTTTTTTTCTCTCTTTTGAGAGTTAACTTGGTAATTTGGAGCATATAACCATGCTGTTGGAAGCTGTTTCCATTGTTGCAGCCTGATTGTCCATGGTTTAATCATCAGTAGTTTTGAAGGAAGGCAGGAGAATTAAAAAGAAAGAAAGAAAGAAAGAGAGAGAGAGAGAGAGAGAGAGAGAAAGAAAGAAAGAAAGAAAGAAAGAAAGAAAGAAAGAAAGAAAGAAAGAAAGAAAGAAAGAAAGAA